TTCCCTGATGAGTAATGATGTGGAGCATCTTTTCTTGTGCTTGCTGGCTGCCAAGTCAGACGCCAAGACCATCTGGTGGGGAAGGACAGTTCTTCCAACCAGCAGTGCTGGGAAAAGTGGGTCTCCGCACACACAAGACAGAAGTTGGGCCTTTGTCTCTCACTAAATACAAAAATTAACTGAGAATGAATCAAAGAGCTAACCCAGGAGCCGAAACTATAAAACTTAGAGGAAAATGTAGAGGAATAGCTTCCGCACGGTGGGTTTGGCGGTGATTTCTTGTACATGATGTCAAAAGCGCAGGCAATAGAAGAACAAATAAATAGATTAGGCTTCATCAAAATTTGAACCATTTGTGCCTCCAAAATGAAGGGCAACCCGCAGCAGAGTGGGAGAAGATACTTGCAAATTCTGTAAATGATAAGGGATTAATATCCAGAATATATAAAGAACACCTACAACAACAACAAAAAAATCCGTTTCGAAAATGGGCAAAGGAAGGGCACCTGGATGGCTCAGTTAAGTGTCCAACTCTTGATCTCCGCTCAGGTCTTGATCTCAGGGTCATGAGTTCAAGCCTTGTGTTGGGCTCCACGCTGGGCATGAAGCCTACTTAAAGTTTAAGTTAATTTAAAAAATGGGCAAAGGGAACCTTGAGGACATCATACTGAGTGAAACATGCCAGTCACAACATGACAGATACTGTAGGATTCTACTTAGAGGAGGTACCTCTAAGGTGTCAAATTCATAGAGCCAGAGAGTAGCATGGCGGTTTCCAGGGATTGGGGGGTGGGAATGGGGAGTTGCTGATTAATGGGTGGAGAGTATCAGTTTGGAAGATGAAAAGTTCTAGAGTTTGGTTGGACAAGGCAAATGTACTGAACGCTCCTGAACTCCACACTTAAAAATGGTCAAGGCAGTACGTTTCATGTTATGCGTATTTTGCCATAATTTAGAGTCAAACTGAAGTAACATAAAAACGGGCCAAGAATTTGAATATTCATGTTTCTGAAAAGGAGATACAGATGGCCAATACTCATGCAAAAAGATGTTCAGCCTCAAGGGGCGCCTGGGTGGCTCAGTCGGTTAAACGTCCGACTTCAGCTCAGGTCATGATCTCCCCGTTCGCGGGTTCGAGCCCCACGTCAGGCTCTGTGCTGACAGCTCGGAGCCTGGAGCCTGTTTCAGATTCTGTGTCTCCCTCTCTCTCTGTCCCTCCCCTGCTCACACACCATCTCTCAAAATTAAAAAAAAAACAAAACACCTCATTGGTCATTAGGGATATGCAAATCAAAACTACAATGAGATACCAAATCACAGGCATGAGAATGGCTATGATAAAAAAAAAAAATAACAAGTGTTGGCAAAGCACACTGGTGGAGAAACTGGGTTGCTTGTGCACGCGATGCTAGCGGGAATATAAAATGGTACAGCTGCTATGGAAAATGGGTATGGCGGTTCCTCAAAAAATTAAACACAAAACTAGCTACGATCTAGCCATTCCACTTCTGGATATTTACCCAAAAGAACTGAAAGCAGAGACGTGGACAGATATTTGTATGCTCATGTTCACAACAGCATTATTCACACCAAAAAGTGGAAGCGATCCAAGTGTCCATCAGTGGATGGATGAACACACAAAATGTGGTTGATAAGTACAATGGGGTTATTACTCAGCCTTCAAAAGGAATGAAATTCTCGTACATTTTACAACATAGATGAACTCTTAATAGGAAGCTAAGTGAAATGCCTATTCAGATCCTTTGCCCATTGAAATAAAAAAAAAACGGGGGGGTGCCTGGGTGACTCAGTCGGTTAAGCGTCCGACGTTGGCTCAGGTCATGATCTCACACTTCATGGGTTCGAGCCCCGCGTGCCAGAAGCGGGTCTCTAGAAGGGAGCTGGCTGGCTTGCAGTGGTGGTTCTCAAAGTGTGGTCTGGCACTGGCTGAGGCGGCGTCACCTGGGACTTTGCCAGCAGTCACTTCTCAGGTCCCACGGGAGACTCAGCACCGCCCCCCCACCCCCCGGGGTAACTCTGATGCTTGCTCCAGGGTGAGAAGACCCGGATGAGGTGGTCCCTAAGGTCCTTGCCACACCTCCCTCGGGCTGCCCCTTCCCCGGTGGCCCCGGCATCGCTCAGCCTTGAGTCCCCCCGGATTCCTGGGGTCCCCATTAGAAGCCCCGCCCTAGTGTTCTCGCTTCATTCCACAGACGCTGGTGGCGACCCCAGGCCCCCAGGGGATGAGGGATGAGGGCTGGGAGTGAAGCATGGCCGCTAACTAGGCCAAACGAGGCAACTATAAGGCCCCTCTCTCTGATCGTCTCCGTGACGAGGATCACTCTGACGTTCCTGTAACAGCAGCAGCACCAAAGGAGCCATCACTGGGCCGAGCCCTCGGCTTAGTCCTCACCAGCCCGAGGCCGCAGCCAGGAGGCCTGGGAGGGCACGGCCTTCTCTAGCTCCAGGTCTGTGGCTTTGAAGCCAGGGCACTGGACGGAGAAGTCACAACACGGTGTGCTCCGTGGAGAGGCCGGACACGAAGGACGGGCGGACGGTTCCATCCACACGAAGCTCTGGAACAGGCAGAGCTGGGGTGTAGCAGGGCCCGGGCCGGGGCACGAGGGGGCTGTGTGGGGTCTGGAAATGTCCCATCCGATTACGGTGGAGACGGAAGTGTCTGCGCATCTGTCAAAACTCCTCCCACCGTATACACTTAATGGGTGAGCTTTCCTCTAAGTCACACCTTGATTTAGAATACTTGTAGCTAATTAGGGACACAACTTCTGAAAAACGCTTGGTCTAACCTCTTGGATTTCTGTGATTCCGCCTGGGAGAACTCGCGCCGGAGGGGGAGGGGGCTGGACCCAAGCCTCCGCGGTCCCCTCCCCGCCAGCGGCAGCAGCCGCGGGTCCTGAGGGGGAAGGCGCTCCCGGGCCCCGCAGAGGCAGGGCATTCCGGGGACTGCCCGCGATTTCCAGTCTGTCCCCAGACCGAGCCCCCGCGGCTTCTCTTAGCAGGAGTGACTGTTGTCAGTGTGAGCAGGTGGGAGGCACTTAACTAATTTAATGAACAAGACAGACACACGTGCGCACACACACACACACGCACGCCACGACGGGAGGGAGGAAGAGGGAGAGAGGCAGCAGCCAGGAGTCGGCGACCCCCTCGAGGATCACAAACACACCTTTCCGTCAGAGAATCTTTATTTTACATGTTTCCATCACAGCACGAGAGCCCCTCCCATCCATCACCCTGATCGGAACCCCCACCCTGTACATGTTTACATAAATACTCTCCCGTGATCGTGAGTGTTAAAAAAAAGAATACTGCGAGCTCCTGCGCCCCGATCTAGCCTGGAAAGCAAATGCTATTTACAGACGTTTCCCCGCCCAGTGCACCTTACTTCTGGACTGGAGCTGGCGGACTCCTTGTGAGGTCACATGACCAGGCAAAGCCAAATCCCGGTGGGCAAAAGCTGCTTAGAGCGTCAAGAACCGCCCCTGCATGGACAGGATTTGGGTATCTTTTTGTATTAAGTATCTTGAATGCTAAGGAGGTTGAGTCTCTGGGCCGCCCCCCCCCCCAATCCGGCTGTCCACTGCACAGCCTCACGGCTCGCCCCAAAGTTAGCTTCCACTCTCGGAAGGGAGTTAGCTTTTCGGTCTCACTCTGACCCTTCCTGACTTTGTCCAGAACCCGTCCTCCCCAGAGGGCCTGCCTGCAGACAGCCTGTGCCCGGAATTCCAACAGACCCAGTGCAGCCCGACTGCACCCCTGCTCCGGAAACGCCTGGTCCCTCTCTGCCAGGCTGCTTTCTGCACACAGTACCTCAGGGGACGTGCCTGTCCCCTGTCCTAGCAAAGAGCCATCGAGAAGCATTTTTCAAGCACCAACCCTACAGGGGGCACAGAGGCATGGCCAGGCTACAAAAGGGGCCCTGGGGACCCTGGAGTGGTAGCCACTTTCCAGGTGTGACAGGGATTAGCGTCGGCTCAGGTGGGTCTTTTAAAGACATCCTACCCTCAACACCCTGGGGACGCCTGGAGTCAAGGGCAACCTTTGAGAACCTATGGGATGTTCTAGACGAATAGCTCCCGACAGACTGAGAAGGGGCAAGGTCAAAGCCTAACTTCTTTACTGGGAAAGCTACTCATTTACTGAATCCTCAATGGGAGGAACAGGCAGAGGCCAGTGGCGCCATGGGGCCCGGCACATCCGTGATCTGTGAGAAGGCGGGGGGGGGGGGGGGGGGGGGGGGGGGGGGGGGGGGGGGGGGGGGGGGGGGGGGGGGGGGGGGGGGGGGGGGGGGGGGGGGGGGGGGGGNGGGGGGGGGGGGGGGGGGGGGGGGGGGGGGGGGGGGGGGGGGGGGGGGGGGGGGGGGGGGGGGGGGGGGGGGGGGGGGGGGGGGGGGGGAAGGGACTGGGGTCTGCTTCCCGGAAATCCGGCGCCTTGTCAGCCAGAGCCATGGCCGCTTCCGCCGTTCATCGGGCCGGGCCATATGGGGCAGGAGCACCCACCTCATCGGACCATCTACGTCCTAAGAACCTTCCTCGGAGAAGATGCCGCAGGATGCGGGAGAGGCCAGGATGCCCCTCGCGGCTCAAACAGGCATCTTCCACCCTCTTCCTGGTCTGTAAGGAGTGGCTCCTGGCGAGAAGCTCTTCAGCGCTAAATAAGAATACACCCGAGCGCAGGGACCCAGAGCATAACTCGCGGCAGAGCTACACACTCCGGACAGAACTCTCCTCAGCTCGGGAAGCGCACCCTTCACACCATGACTGGGAGGAAGTGCCGCAGGGCACCAGAGCTTTCGCTGGGACTCCCAGGCTGGGCCCACGTGGAATAAGAGCCGTGCGCTGAGGGGGGAGGGGGAGGGGAAGGATGGGGGCAGGCCGTGGAACAAGACAGGGCAGACAGCCCGCTGAAATCCTAACGCAGGAGCAGAAGCCTCGCTGGAGGGGCACCGGGGCGGCCGGACACGGCGGCGCGGCAGGCGCTGGCTGTGGGTCCAGGAGAAGCAAACCAAACCTGGACACTGGACTCCGAAGCAGTTTCTTGGAAGAAAACTGAACGGACTCAGGCTACAACCCGAGAAATCATCTTTTACGCTAGAGGAAGCACCTCCTAATGGGAGAACGGGCCTCCGGGTCACCTGAGTTGCATCCAGCAGGTTCAAGTGTGCGGCTACTGAAATTTTAAAGCGCTAAGGAACCGAGAAGTAGGCTGGTGGGGGCTCCAGCCGCTGTTAAAAGTCAGGACTAAGAGATCGATGACTATGCTTATGGTCGAAGTAGTAATTTTCTAACAAAATGCACACATCTCGCTGGAGGAAAACCGGCCCCTTACTTCTTGAACCTGCGCGCCGGCCACACTCCCGTCCACAGCAGACTTCTCCGAGGAAGACGGGCAGCGCGTGTAGCAAAAACACGTGTAGCAGCAGGAGCACAAAGCAAAGCTGTAAATACCGCTGTTCACACAACGATGTGCGCCGGGTCCTCTCTACCCGACCCCTGAAATACTGAAGGGCTTAACCGTGGCGGCCTCGCGTGGCTGTGGGAACCAGGCCCCTGGAGGGGCCCGCGCACCTGTCTGGCTCGGGACCCCATCTGTCCCCTTCCCCCAGGAGCAGAGCCGAACGCTGGCCACAGCTCCCAAGTGATGGACGAAGAGGGGAGGTTTGCACAGAAGAGGACGGAGAGCACAGGGAACTTGTACACGTGGGAGAGACCCAGTTTCCCGCTCTCGGGCTGCGGTCTGATGCCCCGTGACCACCGGCCTCGCCTTGCAGCTGCCGGTTACCATATGGGACTCGGGCAGACGACCCACTGGTGAGCCCTTCTTCCTAAAGCCCTGCCTTATCCCGCCCGCGCCTTCTGGTTCCCAAGGGGTCAGGGCGGCACAGGCGGCCACTCGGCTGCGGTGTGCACAAGCCCAGAGGCACGCGTGTCGCACGGAGAAGCCCAGCGCTCTGGCTCACACCCGCCGTGGTGGCTGGGGCTCAGGGCTCCGGGGTGGCCGGCAGTGCCCAGGCTGGCTCGCTCCCTCCCTCCCTCGCTTCTGCGGGGACCCTTCCAGGGGGGAGGGTTCATCCCACCTCCGGGTCCTGCCAAGACTTCTATGGTCTCGTCAAGAACATCTCCTTGCAGGACAAACCTGTGTCCCTTGGAGGGACACACCTAAGGGGGTTCTGGTCACAGCACGAGACACACACAGAAGTCCTGGAACCGTGCTGACGCCACGAAAACAAAGTCTTAAAATTCTCGTCTGCAGCCTCCTTCTCCTGTCCCGCAGCCCCAACCCACCTACGACGACAGAGAAAGAAAAGGGGGGAGGCAGGCAGGGAGGGAGGAGGAAAGGTCCCTCCATGAGCACTTCGGGCGTATTCCCTGGCTCCTGACAGCGGGGAGACACATGGCCCGGCCCTGACCTCCGTGGCCGGGCGAGCGGCAGCTGGGAAGGCGGGCTCACACCACAGGCCCGGCCACCGCGGAGCTTTGAGCAGGGAGGGCGCGCAGACCACAGAGGGGACTAAGGGGAGCGCGTGAAACCCGCTCCTGCCCGTCGCCCGGGAAAGAAACCAGCCCAGGAGAGAGGAAACCACCACTTTCTGAGGACCCTCCAGGTGCCCAGACCCGGGCTGCCAAGCGCCACCCCCAAATCCTACAGCCTCCGAGGGACTCTTCAAAGCCACAGGTGAGAGCACCATCCCGGGAGACCGCCGCCGTCATCCCCCACCCCTCCGTGAGAGGCCCAGGCCAGCGCGGGCTCCTGGAAGCAGCGACCCCCCTCCCCGAAGCATCCCCGATGAGGCTGCGTTTCCCCCTCCCGTCCCAGGCCCGTGTGACCAAAACCAAAACCAAAACCACGGTGGGAAATTGGTGCCGAGCCCTCCTCCCCTGGGTCACCGCGGACCTTCCGAGCTTGTCCTGTTATCCGAATGGCTTCGCCTCCCGCCGCACCACTGTTCCCCATGAAGCGGCGACCCAGGTTCCTCTCCTGGCCCAGAAAGTCTGGAAGGGCCCCTGTGGGGTTTCTGAGAAAGTGCTAGTGCCCGCCCTCGCCCATGCCCCCGCCAGTCCCTGAGGGTGCAGCTCTGCTCAGCCACACCCGCTTTCTTCCTTCGCGCACACACTCCTGGGATACAAGCAGGGGATGTTTCGTCCCTGTTCGTAAGCCTTCCTGGTTTACAGGAATAGCTTTTAAATGACGATGACTTGGTTGCACTGAAGTGTTTAAACACCACCTTTTTCGCCCCCTCACTGCCCTTTAAGGAAAACTCCTCCCCCTTTCTCCCCACGTCCTGATTACACAAGCCCAGGGGGAACCGAGGGGGTCCTGCTCTGGGCGGTCAGAGGGGCCTGCTGTCTGCGCAAGTCCTACTGGATGACGCTTTCTGGGCCGAAGAACACATTCCCGTCCGTCCACCAGGCCACGTCAGCTACACCGCACGCAAGAAAAGCGCTTCCCTCCACGGTCCCAGAGGCGTGACTCTTGACAGTAACCTTCAGCCCTCGGACGACAGAGCCCTTTTGGGAAGAAGACCACTGGGCGTCTAGAACTGTGGGCTCCAGGTCCCTTTCAGAATCTGGGATCAAGGTCAAGGGTGACATTCGGGGCCAGGAATCCTGGGGCAGCCTCCATAGACCAAATTGGGTTTGGGCTTTGCTTCCTAAAATAACCTAATTTCATTCATTTCTGTTTCCCAAAGATGCGATGATACGTTCCCTTTCCCTTCTCAGTCCCTGTAGCCTCACTCAGCCCCCGCTCAGTTCCCGCGACCCCGTTCCTGAGCCGTGACCGGCTCACACCGCCACCCCCCTGCCGCGACCCCCACGGTCTCTGGCGCTACACACTTGGGGGGCATGGCTCCATATTCCTGGAGAGTTCCCAGTGGAAAAAAAAAAAGAAAGAAATATAACTTAAAAAGAGTCTTCCTTTTATCCTCCTGTCTACACTCCCCCCCCAGCCATTCCCACTTAAAGGAGATTCCTAGCTGCCTATGGCCAGCCGCAGATCCAATTTCCATAAGAGAGTAAAAAAGCAGGTTTCCGTGGCCCCACGTCCCCGGCCACGTGCTCTGTGGCGGCGCTCTCGGGAGATGCCACCGCTCCGGCTCACCACTAGGACTATGAATAAATTAAATGTTCTCTCCGGCAGTCCCCGCCTCCAGGCCGCTCCAGCGCCGTCAGGTCAAGCGGTGCCTTCCCAGTCGCCCTGGGGCTCCACTGAGCCGTTGGTCACCTTCTTGACTTTCTTCACATTCTCCATCACCCCCGATGTCGTCACTCTGAAGGAGGAACAAAAAAAAAAGGGGGGGGGGATCTCAGTCTTGAAGCAAACGGCCATGGCCACCACAGCAGAGCGGAGTGGTTGCGCGTGCTGGCTCTAGAATCAGACAGGCCTGGGTTCGAGTCCTGACCCCGCTCCTGGCTAGCTGTGTGACCTCCACCAAGTCACCTGACCTCCCTGCTTGTAAGCAGAATAAACGACTCCCACATCTTAGAACCGTCATCAGGGGAAACTGAGGTTCTCCAAAGCACCCAGTCAGTGCAGACCAGCTGCTCCTCGTACAGCCAATGGGAACCTCTCTCCTCCTCCCTTCCTGTAGCGGCCTCCACGAGGTGTTATGTGGCAGAGCGACACTGATCACGATTAGGAGATTAGCATCTGTATAGAACTTTGTGAAAACGGAGCTAATCAGGTGTCGTTGTTCACAGCCACCCACAGGGAGCCTTTCTGAGTCACGAGATACAATCACAGGTTTATTAAAAAAAATTTTTTCTTTTAAATGTTTATGTTTTGAGACAGAGAGACAGACAACGTGAGCAGAAGAGGAACAGAGAGAGGGAGACACAGAATCGAAGCACCTCCAGGCTCCTAGCTGTCAGCACAGAGCCTGATGTGGGGCTCGAATCCACGAACCGCGAGATCATGACCGGAGCCAAAGTCGGACGCTTAACCGAATGAGCCCCCCAGGCGCCCCCACAATCACAGGTTTAGGGGAACCCTCTGGCCTCAAGAATCTCTGGCCACTAGACACGGAGAACCGGCCACTGTCTGCAAACCCGCTGGGCTACACTGCACGGCCGTCAGCAAGCACGTGGCTCTGTCTCCACCCTGTGACCCAGGCCGGGCCTGGTCTCTGCTGGCACCTGGCCCCAAGGAGGTGGACAGAGCCCTACGCCGAATGCGTAGGTCAGACACGTGAGAACACCGGCTTTGAGGGTGTGAGGAGCCAGGCCGGCGGCCCATTCCAGAGAGAGAGGGGCACAACATCTCTCGAGAAGGTGGTCTCGGGAACAAGCAATCCCCTCCTCACAAACTATGGGCTGGATGGATTTGAATGCTCTCGGGATCCGGGAGGGAACCAGGTGGCTCCGTAGCAGGAGACACCGAGCAGAGAGATAGCGCCAGGCGGCAGGCGCAGCACAGCGGATGCACCGGGCAGTGAAACCGCTCTGAGACCATCAGGGAGATACGTGCCAGGACACGTCCGTCTGAGCGCACAGCACGCACAACACCAGAGAGAAGCTCGGGTAAGTTACAGGCTCGGGATGGTAACGACAGGTTAAGTTCATCGACAGCCACGCGGGGACCTCCCTTCTGGAGGGGGTGTTGATGATGCAGGAAGCTGTGCCCATGTGGAGCAAGGAGCGCACGGGAAACCTCTGGAAACCAGAGAAATGGGGAAGCTCTGGGAAACAATGAGGTGCCCATAAGGGACCAAGAAGAATTTCCTAATGAGTAAAATAAACTCACTCATTCACTCAATCTGTCCAAGGACCCTCCTTATCCCCAACCCCTCCACCAGCTACCAGATCCCTTCACCTACCAATGGTGACTCAGTGTGGCCCTACACGTGACACATCTAGTCGGTCCAGCTGGACCTAAAGGCAAATAAATGATTTTAGGGGGTTAAGAAAAAGATCCTTTTTCCACTCTTCATTCCTACCACTATGTTGCTGCTGTGACCAAGCCTCAAAGCCATCCGGTCGTCCCGAGTTGGGACTTTTCTCAGACAAGGGTCCTTCAGGCTCATGGGGTGGCTGTTCTTGTGGCAAAGTCAGGACAAGGTGGGCTGCCAAGACGGAGATCCCAGGGGCACCGGGGGTTCCCTCAGAGGCTGTCGGTGAGTGTACCTGCGGCCCCCGGACAAAGGAAACCACCTCACACGGCCCACTTCCTGTTGGCTGGGCGGCAGACACATGCGCACACGGCTGCTCCTTGAGGGACTGTCCCTCTTCAGCTGGGTGGTGCAGGTGGAGTGGCCGCAGGCCCGGGGGAACCGGAAGCCTTCCCAGATCCAGCACAGCGTTTCCGAACGCGTGCGGTCAGACAGCAAGCACAACCCTGAAGCCCCCAGAGTTGCCCGTGGCGACAGAAGCTGCTGTGTGGCCACGGCCCGGCTGCCGAGAACACGGGCTTCCACACGCTGAGAGCACAGCCTGTTCGTGGACCCGAGCAGGGCTGCAGCCTGGGAGACACACCTGCCACCTGTCTCTCCCTCGTCACGCATGGCTTTCCGGCTGGTGAACCGGCTGCAAGAACACTTGCTGGGTCACACGGGCACAGGGCTGGGACAGAGAGGGGCCGGAGCGCCCGCGGCCCAGCGGAGGACATTTTCCAGGGCAGCAAAGTCGCTGGAAACAGAGAGGAGTGCTCGAAGCAGGCGGGACGATGGCTCGGGGTGGGAAAAACCACCTCTGCCGGGGGCTTCGGGAGGAAACTTCGAGGCCTGTACTCAAAGAAGTGGAGCAGCGGCAAGATGGAGGGGTGGGAGAGGGGCAGGGGAGTTCCTGAACAGAAGTAATGCCACGGGCAATAAGCGTGGAAGAAACAGAAGAGAGGCCCCTGCTGGTCAGGGAGAGCCAAGCAGCCGCCGGGGAAGGTGGCAGGAGGGTCAAGGGTGGGCAGGGTGGGGCCACAGAGGGGCTTGTCCGCCTTGTCATGGAGGCTGGACTCGATTCTTCCACCAGGTTCTCGGTCCTGCCTCGAGCAGGATGCCCTGGGGAGTTAAGAACAGCACGGGGGACGGGAGTCCCAGACACTGAGAGTCACGCCTTGGGGGAGGGGCTGGGGGCGCTACCTGGGAAACTCCACAAGTGACTCCGGGAGCCAGGAGAGCGGACACGGAGGGGGGAAGCCAGAGGCGAGGACGTGAGCCGCAGGAAGGCGGGGGCACTGGGGTAAGTGGGGAGGGGGGAGGAGACGTGACATCGGGTCCCCAAGAAGTGGCCACTCACTCCATGTGGCCTGAGAAGTGGCAGGTGCCCAGGCCAGCCCCCATGTGCGGCCAGTGATTGGCTGGACGGCTGTGCCACCAAAGCCCTTAAGGAGTGCAGGGAACGCAAGCTCGGGCACCGGTGGGCGGGTGGCTAGCGCCCGGTCCAGGGCGTGGTCAGTGAGGAGCCAGCTGGGCGACCCTGGGCTCGAGTGAGCCCTCCCGCCGAGAAGACGGAGCAGCGGGAGCAGGTGACGGTGAGGTGAGAGGAGGCAGGTCAAGGTGGCGGACGGCAGTGATGCTGGCAGGCCTCAGCGTCCTGTCACCCAGCAAACCTCCGGGAAGTGAGGGGGACACCTGGTGCCCAAGTTGCAGGTTCCACTTTGGATGCAAATGCTGGAGGGGGGTGGTGGACAACAGCAGAGAAGCCACCATGCGACAAGCCCCAGAGCAGCCCCCACAGCGCAGCCAGCAGAGCTCAGCGGCGGCGCCGTGTGGGAAGGGCTCCAAGCTCAGGTCAGGCCACGGGCAGCAGTGACTTTCGGCCTCAACACCAGCTCTGGGAACACACAGCCTCCCGGGGCCGCCTTGCGGCCGTCACCATTCACTCCCCAAACGGGGACAGGGAGGTCAGGCGAGGGCGAACTCTGTCCTTCTCACCTCTGCTCACTCTCTCTCTGCCTCGCCCGCCCCTCCTCACCCAGGCTGGTGAGACGCCCATGCTCTGGGCACACATGTCTGTTGGGGTGCGGTCTGCAGGCCAGCACACTGTTCCCGAGGGGAACTGGGAGCTCCCTGGGGGCAGGACTCCAAACCGCCTGCTGGGTTGCTGGTGCTGCTCGTAGCAGCGTGGCCTCCAGTGCCTGCCCGGGGGAGCACTGCCTTGGGCCCTCGCAGCCACTCCTGCCTTGGAGAGGGCACGGCCTTGAGGCCTGAGCAACGGCAGTGGCGCGGAGCCAAGCTGCTGCACCCCCCCCCCCCCCCCCCCCCCCCGCCGATCAGGAGAGCATGTGGAGGACGGAGAGGAAAGTGGGGCAGGGACGTGCCCGAGAGCAGGAACAGGGGAGCGGAGCAGAGCTGGAGAGAGCAGATGGACCCACGTCCCTTCCACATCTTGAAGGTGACCCCTCCTTTCCTTGCAGAACCCTATCTGAGCTTGTAGCCGACGGGCCTACAGGACGGGACACAAGACGGACGCTCGGGCACTCGCCGTTGCTTCTGCTGCACCAGACTGTGACGAGGGCCTAAGCGGCCCCTGGACATGGCCCAACCGTAACGTCCAACCCAACTGAAAATTCTGTTCCCGCACGTGGCCAAGCAGACAGCTGCTGGCGGCCCACTGGGCCCAGCATGGGCAGAGGCTCCGCCTGTGAACTGGGCCCAGTCAGAAGGTCCTGTGTTGCTGGAGGGCGCGCCCCAGAAACCCGGCCTCGGGCTAATCACCAAACACCTCAAGGGACCTGGCTCATCGCAGTTCACCAGTCAACAAGCAAATATTCTCAATCACTATCCCTCTTCTAGAAAATGGGGGCCCTTTCCCAGAAAACAGGGCCCAAAAGTCGCAGGCCCTGTGACTCTGGAAAGCCTGTTTGATGCTCTGATCAAGGTCAAGCCACTGCACGTGCTGCGAAAAGCCATTTCATGATGACAGGGGAGTCTGAGGACACTCAGCAGACTTACGGGTGACTCAGACGATCATCAGACATGGGCTCCCCGCGGTGGGGGCCCAACAGGAGGCAGAGCTGCCCGTCCCCAGTGGTGCTGCACGGGCCGAGCAGATGCCCACGTTCTTGCCACTGGGTTATTGGCTGCAGGGCCCCAGGGCCGCCCAGGGGTGCCTCACCTTCCCCGCCAAGCCTGGGTGACGTGTGGCAGGTACCGTACCACTAGCTGAGTGACAGCCCAGGGCCTGCATGTCCATTTCCTTCCGCTGAATACAGAGGCCCCACGTCTGGAGCACAGAGGGGCTGCCCCGACTCCCACTGCACCGCTGGGTCCAGGGGCAGGGGAGGAGGGGCAAGAAAGGTGACTTCTTACACTGACTCCATCTCCAGGTCGTCGTCCTGAGACAGCTGCAGGTAGGGGTTGTCTGAGGCCGGACGGAACTTACATCCTGTCAGCACGAAAAACACCAGCGTGGCCGTCTCGTCCAGGAGCTGCAGGTGGAAGCCCACCATAAAGGTGTCAGCAACGCTCTCCTTGGGAAAGCAGGGGACCCACACGGAGCAGCGCAGCCCCCACCGCCCCCACCGGCCGGGCAGGGCCTCCTGGGAAGGTGTGCCGACCCTGGCTGGGAGCCCGCCAGCCAGGAGTGGCGCTCAAGACGCCCCGCTGTGACCCATCTTCACGGGTAGTTTTAGGAGCTGCTCACACCCCTGCGTCTCCTGCATGCCCGCAGCACCAGGTGAGTGCCTCCAGGTCTCCCTACCGCCATGGTGTCCACCCGGAGCCAACAGAGCACTGAATGCCAACTCTACGCTCTACACTTCGAGAAGGACAAGAGAGAAAAGGCTCGGGCTCCTCTGGGGCTCACCCTCAGAGTTAATTACCCTTGTAGGTCGCAAAGATGCTGTGCTAAGGAGATGCTAATGGGCATAGGAGAGGGGACTCTGGAGTCTAAGCTCTTCTAAGCCCCATAACTGAAGGCCAGACCACGTCTCGCTGGCTTAATTACCCGGGGCAAATCTCATGCTCTCTGCCTGAAGGCTTTTCTCTTCAATGCCTCGCAAAACTGAAAAACAAAGTCAATAACGCAATTACTCCCAGATTTTTCACATAATCCGGCAGCTTCCTGGACAGATAATCTTAATCGTGGGTCTGAAGAGACCGGAAGTGGCCATGGCCTGTTAACTTTGGAGCGACCTTTAGTTACGCCCTGAGACTTTATCCTCGGCCAGGAAGTCCCCGGCACCACCCCCACAAGCTGCACACCTGGTACAGCCACTTCCACTGGAACGGAACGGCGAGCTTGAGGAGGAATGCTATGATCCTCGTAAAGTATATATAACATACGATCTAGGAGAGGACAGAAAGAATAAAAATCAACACAGAAATTATGGCCCTTCTTCCAACAATGTGCTTTCACAGAACCACGAAGGAGAAGCAGAATCACCCGAAGACAATCGTTTAACCCTTACAGTGCTAATTAATGTGGCAGAAGGTCGCCAGGGTGGCTCTGTGGGTTCAGTGCCCGACTCTTGATTTCGGCTCGGGTCATGATCTCACGGTTCGTGAGACGGACTCCTGAATCGGGCTCTGCGCCGACAGCTCACAGCTTGCGTGGGATCCTCCCTCTACCCCACTCCCTCTGCCCCTCCCCTGCCCACTCTCTCTCTCACAATAAATAAATGAGCATTTTAAAAAATGTGGCAGTGGTGGCTTCTCTGCTTGTCTGACCTAAAAGGCCTTCTGCTTCATGTCCAGGTGACCAGCCAACACGGGAGGGGGATGAAACATTTGGAGTGGCTGCTCTCAACTCCCCAGTCACCCCCTCCTTGCCTCTTCCACACACGTAACCCACTGATCTCAACCCCTGAAGGACAATAGTTTTTATTCCCAGGCTTTGAGGAATGTTTGTGAGGAGGAATAGCACGAGGCCCACAAGGAACGCTCGTTAGCCTCGTGGGCAGCTGCTGTGAGCGTCCCGGGCCGCACCCAGAGGAAGCACCAATGACACTAAGGAACACTGAATGCTCTAGTGATGGAGGGCGGAGAGGGCGGCAGGGATTCACCGAGGGGACACCGGGACCCCACGGCGGCTGGGCTTGCAGGGACGGACGCATCCGACCACAGGTGGAAAATGGCTCAGAAACTTTCTTTTACGAGTCAGGAAGTGAACTCCGGGAGAGCTCACGCCTTATACATTCCAAGAACTTACTATCCTGTTACAGCAAGTCCTGCCTTTGGTGTGTGCTCACAGGGACTTTTCACGTCCTGATTTCAGGTGCGACCTCATTTTGGTAAATGGATAAATCCATCAAGCCAAGGGGTGGCTATGTAGGGCATATGGCTGGAAGTGCAGCTTGAGAAATGACCACCAGACTGTGAACAGTCTAAGACCCAGGGCGGGGGGGAGAGGGGTGGGGCTGGGGAGAAGATCAGGGTCAGAAAGTGCTTTTGCTGCCTCTATAGTCCCTGCAGTGTAAGAAAACCTCAAGCGTGTGTTACTTCTTGGATTATTAAAGCCAACTGTACAACTAACATTTAAAAAGGAGTGACTCAGCTGTTTTAATTTCCCGTACCAAAAGACCCAGCTCGATCTGATACCATCAAACCCACACGGCTCCGGGTAGCACTTCCTGGGAAGCCCGTTTCCTCTACTCCTTGAACTGGGCTTATTTACAGATTTAGGGTTTTTGTTTTTTTTTTACTCACCAAGACGTAATAGTGTCTGAAAAGTTTCAGCTTTGCTAAATTGATAGCAGCTGGGGAGAAAAAAGAACAAAATGAAAGGCACATTAACTTCTTTTCTAATTTTTAAAAGCAAGTGACATTTAAGTGCCCTTGGTCAAGAGGCCAAGTCTAATGCAGGTGAGCGCTGCCGGGGAGGGGGGGGCACATCTACATTTCTGGAGACGCCAGGGCTTGGCAGGCTCTCCCTCAGGGCCCTAGGGAGGACCAGGGAGTTGTGGGAGCTGCAGGCTGGGGTCCCCAGGTCCGGCGCTCTGCTGGTGTACATCTCCCCGCTCTGCGCTCAGCAGCTCTGAACTCGCCATGCTGGGGGTATGCTGACATTTCAGGAATCGCAGGAATCGGCAGGAACATGACAGATCAAGGACCCCCACCCCTCCTCCAGGGCCGACTGTACGCATTTCCGCTCTGCCACTGTGGCCGACACAGCTGCTCTCTGCCCTAGGGGCCAGGGCCAGTCTCAGGTGGGTCCCCGCACCTCCAGCTAGCTGAGGGGACAAGTTCCATGAGGCCGCGGGCGCCTCCTGCAAATCTCCCTTGTAACAAGCCCTTTAAATGCAACCCTGCTGGCTGTGTCCTACCTTTGGATCGCTCAAGGTCAGGGAGCCGGGACAGCTAACTTCCTGCCGCCGCCTATGACCATGAAATATTGATGACCATAGAGGGTAGCCTGCCTCCCTCCCCGATTAGCAAGCCTTTCATTCATCATAAACCTTTCTGCAGGAGGCAAATTAATTTGGCTTAATAGCATTCAATTACTGGTTCCGTTTAACAGTGGCACTGTGGGTGGAGAAGGCACCTCTTCCCCTTCCCCCTCCTCTGGCTCACGATTAATGGGGAGCAGTCAAGCTTAGGGTTCCAAAAGAAATCCCTGGAATCCTGATCTCCGGCACAATTACCAACTAATGGTATCGGCAAGAAGCTCCTGGAGTAACTGAATGCCTCCATCAGGGGACGGTCAGAGAATCTACAGAAAATCTAACCCCGTGTTAGGTCTGAGGAACCGTAACGTCCATGCCTCAGGCTGGAATGGACTCACGCACACACCCTTTAAAGCAGCGAAATTAAAGCAGGGTGACCAGCAAAAGCTTCCTTATCTAGCAACCTCTCTGACAGCCTGGTTATGTTTAAAATCAAATCTCTTTGGCTCTTACCCACTTTGCCATTCACTCTGGGCCAGGCCCAGTCAGGGGCAGCTGCGGCCTCTGCCCTCAGGGAGGCTGCTGTCCCTCAGGGGAGAGGCACAGAGGCGCTCAGCACTCGATGCGAGGCGCCTCAAGGACCCAGTAAGTGATGTGGGCCTGTGATGCAAGCAGGTGTCCCTGCCTGGCTGGGGGCTTGCAGAAGCCTCGCTGAGGACGGAGCATTAGACCGAGAAGGGTCAGGAAGCTAACCTGCCACGGATTTAAAGCTTCACACATCGTGTGCACCCGTATTCCTTTTGTGTTTGTCATGTGGCCAAGGAAGTGGCCACCCTCCCAAACCAGCCCACCAGTTCTTGAACATGAAGGCGCCATTCTCCCTGAGAGTAACTGAGAGAGAACAGTATTCACGACGAGACCATTTAAGTAAGAAAAAAATGCTTTCAGAGTCTCTCCCGGAACTCCTTTGCTGAGATAAACCCTACAAACAAAACTCCTGCCGGGGCTTCGGCACATTGGCCAGGCGGAGAGAAGCGTGGGGACTGGAGTGTTGGGTCCAAGGGGCCACGACAGGCCCTGGCTGCCGGGGCCCCACCCGAGGAAGGGCTCCCAACAGGGGCCCAAGGGCGAGAGAGAGGATTCCAAAGGAGCTGGTGTCTGGTGTCGCAGCCGAGGCCTGAGTGGGGCCCAGGAGGGAGCGGAAGGGTGGAGGCCAGAGGGCAGAGTGTTCGGGAAGGGCAGGCGTGAGGGCTCAGCGGGACAGCACCACATGGGGAGGAGGAAGCAGGCTGCACCGAGGAGACCCAGCTGGGCTGCGGAAAGAGTGGAAACAGAGGCCACTGCTGTCGTCCCTGGCGGCGCTGACAGCCTCAGGGAGTCCCTGAAGGCTCTGGGGCAGGGGCTGCTTCAGGCACACGTACATTTAGAAAGGATGGAAAGAACCAAGAACGAGAGCCCAACGGAGGCCCAAAGCCCGGAACTGGTGGGAGGCACGTCCCGCCTGGGAGGCCGGCTGGCGGACAAGGGAAGGCTGATGACGCCGCCCCCCACCCCCTGCTCCGCCGGGGAGAAGGATCTGGGGCTGGTGGAGAGGCGGCGCAGAGGTGAAGACACAGCAGGGCGAAGGCCCTAGTGTGAGAAGGGCGTGAAGACGCTGCTCTAACGTCTCGCCAGAGCCGGACGCTGCTGTGTCACCCCCACTGGGGCGCCCTAAGACACCCTGGGCTGAGGCCGGCCACCGAGCGCTCCAGAGCCGAGCCTGTGCCCCACGCGGGGATGCGTGCTACAACGGACAGACACACCCAGGGACCAGCAGCGTCAGGAAACACAGCCCCGGAAAGCGAAGCTCGAGGCTGTTTGCAAAACCCACCAGTCACGACAGACATCACTCCCAGTCACCCGGGAAACATTTGGTGACAAGTCTGCCGCTGCCGGGCCGGTCCCCACGTGGGTGTTGTAGTCACAGCCAAGGCAGCCAAGGCAGGGAGGGAGCTCGCTCATTCACGGAGCCGAGAAACAGAAGTGGGGAACGGTGCAGACGCCGCACATTTGAACGTCTTGGGTTCAAGTGTCAACTGTGCTGCTTCCTGGGCTGTGTGACCTCAGATAAGCCTCCTAACCTCTCTGAGCCTCAACTTCCTTTTTCTTCTCTTTTGGTGCAAAAAGGTGGTTTTATTAAAGCACGGGGGCAGGACCTGTGGGTCGAAAGAGCTGGAGAGCCTCAGTTTCCTCAGCGGTAAAACAAGGATGACAGTACCTACCCCCAGGGTCATTGGCAGAACTAACGAGACCCACGTAGAAAGCAAACGGCAGCCGGCAAGCGCTCTGCGGACGTCTAACGTCACAGCGAGGAGCACGCAGCATAGACCCCGCTCCCAGACAGGCTGCCTGCGGCCACAGCCACATGTGGCAGAAGTCCAGTCTCTGGTGGTNGGGGGGGGGGGGGGGGGGGGGGGGGGGGGGGGGGGGGGGGGGGGCGGCATCCGCACAGCCCACTGAGTAGGGAGGAACCAGCCCCAGAGGGCGAAACCTCATCAGCAATTACGCGGGGAGCAGAGAGAGGCAGCAGGTGGCGGCTGGGACCCTGAGGCCGCAGCAGCCTCAGCCGGCTATTTCTGGCCCCACGACGACAGATGGCACACACATGGTCAAAGAGCAAGCCTGGCGGGAGGAAAAGAGCCTCAGGTGGGAGTCCAGGGCGCCACGTTCGTCCCTGCACCTCCGCGGCTGCTCCTTCCTTCCCAGGCCCCGGGTCTGTTCATGGGGGCGGGGGGTGTCTGCTCTCAGGCAGGAGGTCCCCTGGGGAGAACCTCCCTAGGGACTCCTGCCGGAGCCTGCCGCCCCTATTATGCGACAGGGCTTGGCCGGAAGGACTCTGAAGGAGTCCCAGGGAACGGGGAAGGAGAGGGTTGGGGGCAGGGAGGGGAGGCACGGGGCCCTGCCCTGGGGCCCCTGCGAGGCAGACCTCCTCTGCTATGGGCTTCCTCCCCCGCCACCGGAAGAAATGGCCAGGACTCGATTTCGGGAACTACTTTTTACAATGCAAAGGGAACAGGTGCCCTCAGCTGTCTCAAATGCGCTGTGACCAGGAAGCAGGGCACATGCGCCCATCCCGAGAAGGCACTTGCCCTTCCCTGGACTCTCACCTTTCCTCCGTGTGCCCAAGAGGGGCTAAGAGGCCGGCAAGGAGACAGATGGTCCCCTCCCTCCCCAGGGGACTTCTCTGGGGGGTCGTGGAACCATGCCATCGGTCGGGACTGTTGACTGAGCGGGAATCACAAAACCAGGCCTCACCACGGCTTCCATGAAGGAAGAAGAGCGCTGTTACCATGGCCCCCCAGAGGGCAGCCTCGGGCTGAGAAGTCTAGCAAATCACCAAGGTCACACAGCTTGTGAGTGAAGAGGCTGGTACTGCAAACCCAGTCTACCTTTCTCTAAGTCCGCGCTCCCCATGCCTGCGCTCTGCACCGAGAGAAAGGTGGCTCGCAGCCTGTGACCTCCCGGCAGCCCGGGGCTCAAATTCCTGGGAGCTGCAACCCTCCGGCTTCAGGAGCTAACGCCAGAGGGTTTATGAGACAGACAGATGCAAAGGCCTGTGACAGCCCTTTAAAGGGTGAAAAATTCCCTGAATGATCCTTCCCAGGGTATGAGGAAAGCCGTGAGGCCTACAGCCGTCCCCACCTGCCCAACCCCCCTCTCTCCGGCTTCCTCCCTGCGTGTATCAGAGGGAATGTTGAGTCGAACATAAGAATTAGAGAAGTAAGGATGGTAGCAAAGCCTGGATGGCACTGGTGTCACTGTGACTCACTCTCAAGCCCCCCGTCTACAATCTGCTTAAGCTCCAAGCTCAGGTCCCTCTGCGGGCTGGGGAGTGGAGGGGCGACAGCAGCTGCCCTCATCTTCATGGTCATGCACAGGCCCAAAAGCCAGGCTGCACGCTGACACGGGGCCACACGGGTCTGAACGTGTCCATCTGGGGGAAGAGATCAGCTCACCGGGCGCCCTCTGTCCCCGCCCCCCGGAGAGGAGATCCCACTAATCCATCTCAGACAGTATCAGGAGCAAGTGTGGGAATGGCCCTGGTAAGACAGCTGTAGAGAAGGAACCTCTCATTTCCAAACTGCTCAGGGTCTTGTGAAAAGTGGTTCAAGCCACGTTTCCGATATGCATTTAAAGCAGTGATCCAGGACGGGCCGAGTTCACCGGGCCGCATGGCTACGGGCTCTGCATCCTGCTTCAGGCAAACGTTATCGTAAAGGAACAAACAGGAAGCAGCAGAAACGGCCCAACAGACTGGCTGCCAACCGCGCGCTCACGGGGAGGCTCATTCGCTAAGATTTCTGCTGTCTTGTCTGCCGAGTCTCTGCTTTTGCCTCACGTCTGCTCTAGAGCCACGTCAAAAGCCTGTCGGAGCGCGGGGTGCGGTGCCAGGGACCCACACTGATCTGACTCCCCTCATGTCCCTGGGCCACCTCGCAGCACGCGCGATGCTGACAGCCTTGCTAGTGTGGCATCACAGCTGAGGCTGGGCCAAGCCAAGGAGCACGCCGCTGCCCCGGCTGTCCCCAGCGGTCCCCTGCTGTCTCCGGCAGGGACTCGCAGCTGGTAATGAGCTGGGTGAGGAAGAAGGTCTGCTGTCCCATCGCTTGATGCCACAGCCCAGTCAACAGCAGACAACACATTCTCCCTAAGAGAACGGAATAGCCCTAAAGACCGCGGGAACCAGCGGGAAGAGCTGTTTCCACTGCTGTCTCAGGACTCGCAGAAGCCACAGGCGAGCCCAGGCCATGAGGCAGAAGCACCACGTCCATGGAGGGCACGTCAGCTCGATCGCAAACCAGGCCTGCCAGGCAGCCAAGGGCCTCTCAACACGGTAAGATGCCCAATGCTTTAAGGGCCTAGTTAGGGGCACCGGGAGGGCTCAGTCAGTTGCGTGTCCGACTTCAGCTCAGGTCATGATCTCGTAGTTCGTAGATTCGAGCCCTGCGTCAGGCTCTGTGCTGACAGCTCTGAGCCTGGAGCCTGCTTCAGATTCTGTGTTGCCCTCTCTCCCTGCCCCTCCCCTGTTTGTTCTCTGGCTCTCTCTCAAAAATAAACATTAAAAAGTAATAATAACAAATTTTTTTTAAAAAATGAAAAACAAAACCCCTCTGGTCCATCCTGCACTTTGAAAGGGTCTTTGATTCACATGCAATGTGTGACACACAAACGGGTCAACTGAGAATTACCGTTTCACTGTAGAGCTCTGAGATACTGATACTTTTTATTACGAAATACTTTTTAAAGTCACATTTGTTAATATCACTTACACAAGTCCTTATCTTTTTCTTAAAGGACACAACCACAGACCTGACTGTCACTTGTATTTATTTTAATGTTTATTTCTTTTTGAGAGAAAGAGAGAGAGAGAGGGAACACAGAATCGGAAGCAGGCTCCAGGCTCCCAGCTGTCAGCACAGAGCCCGATGGAGGGGTTGAACCCATGAACTGTAAGATCATGACCTGAGCCAGTCAGATGCTTAACTGACTGAGCCACCCAGGTGCCCCAGGGAGAGAATCTTTCTTTCTTTTTTTTTTTTTTTTAAATTTTTTTTTTAATGTTTTATTTATTTCTAGGAGAGAGAGAGAGAGA